CACTTTGTTACAATTAAGTAAAATTGTGCTCAATTTCAATCAATCGACTAACTTTTGATGCCAACTTATATCTAGCTTATAGATTGCATGACTTATCAATGCCCTGTGGCTCAATTTCAGGGAAAGGAAGTGGTTATGATTATAAGGTGATATTATGGCTGATGTGAAAAAAATGTAAATACTAATGAGTAATAACAGTACTAAAGTACAGTAATAGATGAACAAACGTAAATTATACTTGTACTTATTAACGATCCTTACCAATAATGGATAGGACGGCAACCGATAAGGGATGTAGCATGGTAAAGCTTCAATTGTCCGTGGCGGCTATATCTGTCGGTTGGATCTTCAGCGGCATCAGATTTGTCGTCAATTCTTGTCGGAATCTCATTGTTGGAGAAATTCGGCGTAATTGTCTACCACGGAACCCTCGCAGGGATTAGCGTCAATCGACGACAGGTCTGTTCAGTTAAGAAAAGCAACAATGTTCGGAACAAGGATGTTAAGGCGAGAAAAAAGCTGTTTGCCCTAGAAATGGTTCTGGAATTGGGTAAGAAAGACTTGAAAAGCTATTTTTGTCTATTTTTGCGCCTACCAATATTGGTGCCAGGTTATGAGAACCTTTACGAGTACATTCTCAAGGGATGGGAGGGGCACAACCTTTGGATTATTCAGTCCCTTTTTTGGTGTGCGACGCACTCTCGCCTCGACTTCCATACAGAATTGCAGTGGCGTTTTGGATGAGTATTTGTATACTACAATGACTTCCGGTCGCCAGCCGATGTACGAGTAGGTGCCTTTACCCTTTCAGACGAGGCTGGTACCCATAAAGCGACCCCGGAGAAATTGAACGCCCGCTTGGCCCAGACAAATGTCGACCAAGCCGAGTTCACCATATCCACCTGTTACATCCTTACGGTATAAATTTTAAAGAAAAGAGAGTTCGATGCTGTTTTTCTATACCCTCACAAGCTCGATTTCACTTCAGAACCGCTATAATACTTCAATCTGCGTCTAAGCATAGAAGCGAAGTCTGTCTATGCTTGTTTCCGCTCTCTCAGACAGGACAGTCCTCCCTTAGCTCTTCCCACCCCCCTCCCCCACTCTGCCTGAAAAAAAAATTGGGGAACAGGCTAATGTTCTGAACCAGTGACGCAAGAGCGATGACTGCATGGATTATTTGAGACCGATCCTGTTCCATAGGCTGTCCCCGAAAACCTATTTGCAATTGTTATCCAATCAACGAATCTGCTGGTAGGGAATCCATTAGCCGTGCAGGCTGATTTGTGAACAGCTCTCTGGACAAACCCGTAGAAGGGTGATCTAAAAAAGCGATGGCGAAGATGTGATCGGTACAGTGCTTTTGCATTTCCATAAGCCGCTGAAATTGATTATCCCCCAAAAGACGTAGCCACCCACTCCAATGAGTGGATTTCACAGTGCCGATTGGTTTTGAAAGTTAAGAGCATGTGCTACTACTCTGATCAACTCAAAATTAAGGGCATGGTGCCTACTCTGATCAACTCGACAACTTTATTTAATTGGTCTTCAATCCAATCGAGAATAGGGAATTGAAACATCTTCAGTGTTTAAAATCCATTCACCATGAATACCTACGCAGGAATAGTAGCGATCTACGCGGGAGTCGAACCTGCCAACGCGCTTTCCCGGTATTACTGTTGACCATCAGGGGTACTGTGCACGCAAAGAAATTCTAGGATAATCCCACCTCGCTCCAGTAGTCATATTTGAAAGCAGAACTCCCACCTTGTTTCCTATGTAGAAATTGGTGACTTTTCTTCAATGCTTCAGATCTGACGCTAGTCATCAGTTTCCCTCACTCAGCAGGATCTATATGACTTTGTTTTATTACTCTACTACGGAAAAGCCCTAGGTAATCTAGGGCATGTGATAATTTCGTAAACACGGCGGACGTTATAGTAGTCGGCCGATGTCTATAAAAAACAATAGGACAAGCACTGACTGCTGGGCTCCCTTTTTGAGATGCACCATGTGAAAGGCTTCACTTTCAGTTCTTAGGCCCTTTGCTTCATATGAGGCACATATCGTAGAAATGCGATGAGCAGTGATGAGATGATACCCTCTGAGCCAGCTAAAGGTCGTAAAATGCAATTGGCCCGGAAAAACTGAAGAAGACTGGCAGAAATCGATTTGGGACCAATTTCCACCGCAGTAGCGACCCTCATTTTATTACGTCTGCCTTTTCAAATCTGCCTACTGTAGTTTATAGTATTTTGAGATTGTAAAAATGTTAATAACATTGCACATCGTGTTTACCTAACCCTCTCACGGCGACTTGTGCATGACTTTGTGGATCTGGGACGTAGCGCGATGGCCGAGTGGTTAAGGCGTTGGACTTAAGTTCCAATGGACGCAAGTCCTCGTGGGTTCGAACCCCACTCGCGCTAAATGTTTGCAATTTGTGATTTCTCCCATTAGACCAGTTGTGAACAATGAAGCTTCTAGTTGAAAGGGAGCATCGGGGTGTTCAACGAGAACCATTCAACCCAATAAGAAGTTGTGATTCGTCAACATCTTCAAACCGTTTTTTTTTGTGTTGGAAATGTATACGGGTAAAAAATATTTCAGGATCTTTCAGCAACTTCTACATTTCACCACAAGCAGTCACTGAAAAGATGGCCACGTGTTTTCAATGTAATTGTACTAGACTGCGCAACACGCAAAGACATGCACTTTCACCGTAATCGTAGCTTATTTTTACACTTTGTCCTACAAAACCACCTTGGCAATTTCATTCACGAAAGACCGTCGCAAAAACGTTCAGCAAACTGAATGCAACTGAACAACTACATTATTAGAACAAGGTTGGTGAGTTATTGACAAAATTTTGGCCTAGGACGAGACTCGAACCCGTATTTGTGCTATGCGGGCACGTGCTCTTATCCCTTACGCTTCCGAAATCCAGCTTACCCTCGCCTCCTAAATGGCCTTCATGCAAAAGCCAGTGGGCACTCACCCATACTCACTCGTACAACTTTTTGAGCTGGTCCCAGCATTAAACCGTTGAGCTAGGAGCTTTTCTTGATAACTTGATGTTTTGTTAACTGCTGTTGTTGGGCAAAGCATTACGTTATTATTATATATAAACTTTATTACAACCGTACCGTGAAGAACATATTCTGAGTACTGGTACATCATTATTTACATAAGTATTTGTAATAATGAGTATTCGGTCGAACTTGACCTATGGCTTCTGTTGATTTCCCTCTAAGGGAAGCAGAATGAAAATGTACCAGAATGTTCAAAAAACGAACGGAATAAATCAAATGCGAGAGTATAGCGATAGAAACAATCTTCAACAAACAATCAACAGCTCAGAAAAGTTATCACGATAGTACATGAGGAATCAAAGACTTGAAATTCACTAGATCTCACCTTGGAATTATTAACGGTGAAAAAAGTAAAGTCGAAGTCGTAAAAAGTAAAGTGAATCACAAAAAATGGTAATTTAGTGCTGTATATGTTTTATACATGTATTAGCTGTGAAATTGCTGTACAGTGGAATAAAGATACACCCAACAAAACCCTTGTTCTCCCCTACTAAACCTAAAGAGCATAGGCAGAAGAGCACTGCAACTAGGAAAATAAGAAGATCCCTAACACTATTCTATAATACATATAGTAATCTGATGATAGATGAATATAACCCGAACAGCGAACCTGCCTGATTTCCTTGGTTACCTTCGGAATATTTTACTAAATAGACCAGCTTTTTTCGATGACGGTGACTGTACTGTTGTCGGTGTCGCCGTGGCACTCCCCTGTGGGATTTCAGGCTCATCTGGAACAGCTTGCTCTGCTTCTAGTATGATCTTCTTTACAACTTCATCGTCAACATCGTCTTCTTCCGAATCAGATAACTCAACCTGGAATGAATTCCGTTACGGTAGCANGATTCCCTTTAAGAAAAGAATGAAGGATGTACCTTATTAAGTTGTTTGTTCCAAAACTGCCCAATTTCCCTGTTCACTTTTTCCAATTCAAGTGACTTTTGTCGGGCTGAAAAAAAAATACATTTTTTTTTTCGATGAAAACGGGTAACAGGGGTCATAAAGGAAATGAAATGAGTTATGGTACTCACTGGCAGCTAGCACACTTTTCATCTCTTGCTGAACGTGTTTGTCGTCCGCCTCACTTGCTTTGACCCTCTTTTCCGCCTCTTCCATTAACCTAATAAATATGCATAGTTTTTTACCTGTTTCTGTCAACTTTTGGGTTTTTCAAAACCCCTTGACACTGCATAAACAAAATGTGCGATTTTTTCGTTATCTCTGTCCTTCTCGAACACATTTCATTCAACATAGATATTTGGCATTAATTCAATCTGTGAGTTACTATTCACCTTTTCACTTTTTTATTCCATCTTTAAGCCGACCGGAATCGGCCTGTGATTCTTCGACGTGAGCACAACCTGCCGTTTCCTAGTTTTCCCATCTAAATTCCGCTAATACCAAATGATTTCGAATACGGCTACATTGATGCGTCGGAGATTCACGCCGCAGATCGCGTGGCGAAATTCATGGCTATTTGTGCTACTCTGATATTCATCACCCAGACAGAAAGCACTGGCACAAATCAGCGGCGAAGCCAGTGTTGAAGCTGCTCATAAGCACACCGGTTTCATGGATTTAAGGGAGCTATGTGTCTATTCGCGGCGCAATTTGCCACACACTTCTCCGAACGCACCAATGTTCTGCCCCCATCTTATTTTTTTCCTGCGATGCAGATATTGCCGGATTAACCGAGCGTCATAAAAGTCAATCGATTTTTTACGGCTAGCACAGGGTCAGAACGAATTGTGAACTTCATTAAATACGCCATCCATTTGCAAAGTGCCCCTATTATTGCGAAGTTCTTCCCCTTACTTTTTATGACACATGCAGAACAGGAACAAAAGTGTTCACCCTCATTGAGGGCTACTATGACCTATGCGGTTCATAATTAGCCATTTGAAAAGCTTACCTGTTGATTTCTTCCAATTCCTTCGCCGTCGCCTCACTAAAGGCAGTCGCTGACGACACTGTAGATAACCGTGGGTCATTCGAAGCTCCTACAGAAAACAGTTCGAAAAATCTGCGCTTCTTACTTGGATAAGAACATCTCATGTAAGAGGGGTAAAAATTGAGATATATATAAAAAGGAAACAGAATTGGTAACAGAGGAAGGAACATCAACCAAAGAAATTGTACTGATTTTAGAGGTAAGAGGTCGAAACACCCAAAAATAAGCATGTTAAAGATATGTTAAAGAGGGTGAAAGAAAAGTAAAGGTGGTCGAGGCTTAGACTCCACTTCGTAGCGAAACGAGTACCTCTAGCTACCTAGCGTCAAATTTGGTCAGCATAGCTACGAGGTGCAGCCAGCAGTGGTACCCACCAGTTAAACGTACTAGACTGTTCAACTGATAAGTCTCATAGCCGTCGGGACTTCGTAACTATGCTAGTGCGTTTAGGCCAAACCCTAAACCTACTCAGGTAACACTAAAATATTGGCATCCCATCTCATTTACTCCTCACAATAAATGGAACAAAATGCACGCTTGTGAACGATTTGGCGAAGTTAGAAAGCTAGGCTAAGAAACCGTACCTGAAGTGAGCTGGTCCACATCAGCTCCGTCTGCAGCTTCACCGGGTTGCGAGTTATCCTCATATTTCAATCGCTTAAACCGCCTCTCCATTTCCTTGTCTTCGTCATACCTTTCTTCGATTTCGGCGAGATCTTTGGCCTGCTTCATCAGCTCTTCCGCGGTATTCCCCGAAGGGGAAACCTTTTCAGACGTTTCGAACATCTGAAAGCGAAATTATCGAGGTGCTGACAAAACTGAATAAGAGATTGCTGCTTTGAAGTTACTTCAGGATAGGGGGGGGGGTGATAATAACATAGCTCACCCTCATCTTTCAAATTTCCCAGAAAACTTTATGAGATAGTGAATAAATCCCCATGATTTCCCGCTGCCTCATTAATTTACGGGACAAAGTGATGTCAACTTCGAATGATGGGACTATCAAATTTCCCAGAAATAGCAATCTAATGCGATTAATGGTGTAAAGTCAAAATAGTGCAACTTACGCAACGTGGGCGACGAATGAGTTCTACATCGCATCCTCGCAAAGCAGCTAAACGTTCTTCTATCTCAGAGAGTGTGAGGACTTTACTGGGAACATCTGAACCACAGCAAGAAAAAAACTTGACGTAGAATGAGTCGGACTAGACGTCCCTACCTTCCTCACGCATTCTCTTCCACCTCGATTCTAAGTCATCGCTCCCTTTATGCTCTGGTGCCTTGGCGACACCGTCGTTCAATTTCGTATGCAAAAGACGTGGAGCAGGCCGTGGTTGACCTATTACGGGAATAAAAACTGATATTCTACAGTGAAAAACGACTGTTTAAGTGAGGCAAAAAACTTTTAAGAAATGTAAAAAAAAATAAAAATAAGGAGAACAAAAATAAAAAACGGGAGGAAATCATCAAAGCTTGCCTAACCTACCTATAGTAGATCTTAAAGACGGGGGAGGCAGTCCATCCCCCCACCACTTCGCTGAAGACGTGCTTGCAACTCCTGAATGATGAGTATTCGGCGGATCACCAATAGTTATCCTCGTAATCTAAAAGAATGGATATGGCATAGTTTAGCGACTGAGGTGAGCAAGTGGTAGAGATTAAAATGGTAGAGATCTGAATTGCTGAGGACAATGGCATTGAGGATTTAAGCTTCATACAAGAGAGCTTTTACCTGTTTTCAACGTTAATTCATGCTAAAGGAAGGTGATAACGTTTGAACACGCTGGCCATTGACACTCCTTATACTGAACTATGTTCTGTGTTCTGTTGAATGTTCTCCTGCAGAGCTTTCTCAATCCATCACCGTTTTCACTACTATTTACAACCCCATTTCCATCCCGATAAACAAAATGTGATTCACGCCGCTCACCACTCATCGTCCCTTGGCAAGGCTTGTCGGTAATTTTATTGGATCTGAAAAATCTGCCTCCTTCCCGAACGTACTATAGTATTCCTTATGAATCTCGTGGAAGATCGTGCACTGGCAATGCTTTTGAATGCTATTGGGTGTCAGAGGGCAGCATCGAGGAGATAGGACTTTGCTTTCACGATTTTTAAAGTACTCGAAAAATTTCAAAATCAGCACGTTCATCAAGAATAAGCCTTGATAACGGATTTTATACAATTGAATAAGGTCTAGTAATCGATTCTTAATTGAAATAGGAAATTAGTTTAAAAAGTTATTTTCACGATCTAAAAAAAAATTGTGTTTCCAAATCTGAATAGTTTCAGCACAATAAGACATCTTTTTTTCAGATTTGGTGATTCTGAATCATTATCTCCATATGTGTTACTCGTATTGAAAACTCAATCACTCAGAGCTTCAGACGGGCTAGCACCAATCCTGGAGCCTAAGTATACAAGGCGTGGGGTCAGTGAGAACATCGTATATTGAGACCCGAAACTTAAATAACCTTGGTGCCATCTTTCTCCTGATTCCTCAACGTTTGCGCATTGAGTTTATCGAAACATCGTGAGCAGACGGTGACAGGCTTGTTGGCATATTGTGGAATGATAGCACGGTGAGGCAAGCATTTTCGACAGAATGAAAATGCACAGTTCGAGCAGCCTTCCTGAATAATGAACACTTCAATGCAATTCTGTGTAACCAATAAAGATCTGGAATAATATATACATATATATGTATACATCAATGTTTACTATTTAGTCAATATTCACTATTTAGTTCAAATTCGAAGAAAAATTTCTAAGTCAAATTGTTATGAGAGAGATGCGTTCGCGACTTCCAGTCAGAGTCGCGATATCGTTTAAATAGGATTGAGCGCCCTACGAAATGTGAGACGAGAATTGAAAGGCCAGCCGTCATACAAGACAGCGTTTTTATCATCCGAGAATATGATACCAACTAGACAATCCGAGAATGATGAAAGATTTTTCTGCCACGGGCAAGTAACGATCGCAAATTCAATCTTCACACCATACGTGTGAAAGTACACCATCCGCCATTTAACGACCTAACTTCATGAGAAACTGCAGAAAACAGTTAATAGGTTGAGCTTTCGAAAACTTGGATCAAATTGTTTATCCATAAACATCAGCTCAGAATTCCCAATAGCGTTTGCAAAGTCTTTGTTCTTACCAACGAGTGCCCCTCTCTTCTTGCTCACACCAAACTTTTTCTCGAAAAAACTGTTGTCCTCACCACTGAAACATGGATCGTTACAAGAAATGATTCTTCGAGTCCGCTAGAACTTTTAGAGCTTTTATATATGCTGCTCTGAAAAAGGAATTCTTCCCAAAAGAGCTGTAGGTTGAGCATATATGAATCATTGATTCTTTGAGAGAAGCTACTGATCAAGCAAAACCATCTGTCAACACACTGTGCATATGAGATCAGTTTTCAAAATTTTCCGAGGAATTTTGGAGCTGGAGATCAGAAAAACTGATAACTTTTCGGAGATAGACCACTTCTACTAACACCTCAGATCTTACATCTATCACTCTCATCACGTACCAGCTTTGCAACAACCTACAACCACACTTGCAACGTCCATCCTATTTGAAAAGCCCATCATATTAGGTGTGTGCACTAATTTCCGCCGTTTTTCGCGTGCAAAAACATACTTATTACAAAATTAAAACTAAATGTACATTAACCAATGTATTGCCCATCGTTAGCTACAACTTCTTGCCATCTTACTGGTACCTTGTTGTCTCCGGGTCTAAAAAAATCTTCATCTTTCGAGGCAATCTTGTTATCCACCCATTTTCGCACTTCTTCGGCATTCCGGAAGCGTATATCTGCCAAACTGAGTTGCATGGACCGGAATAGCTATTAATCAGAAAGAGCAAGATCGGGAAAGTATGCGGGCTGAACAAGCTGATCCCGTCCAAACTGCAATTTTTTTAAGGACATTCTTCACAACAT